AAAGGAACGCGGAGGGTGGGGAGGAGGGATGTGCGTTGGGGTGCTGTGCACCCCGAGGGAAAGTGAGCGGAGGGAACTCGAGTCGAGGGACTCGGGTGAGGGGAAGCGAGACGGGGCCACAGGAGGAAGGTGCGGCGGGGGCTCTACGCGGGGGAGGAGAGGGGCGCGGGAGAGGGGCCTGGGGGCCGGGGTGCAGGGAGGGCCCGGCCTCTGGGCGAACCTGGGCCCCGGCAGCTCCCGGGCTCCAGGCTGCCCCGCCCCGGCCGCCCCTTTGGGGACGGGGACGGATCGGCGAGGGAGGTGCGGGTATCCGTTCACAGCCTGGGTGCAGGGGAACATCTACGCATCCGTTTCTCTGCGGCTGGACTCAGTTTCTATTTCACGCCTTTACTTTGCCACCCTGGACGCACTTGGAAGTTATGTTCTCCTGGAGTTGTGCCCAACGTCTGCCCTCGGAGGGCACCTGGAGGCTTCCGGACACGCGGCTGCGGACCTTGGCCAGGTGATCTCACTTGCCGAGTCCGAAAGGGAGCTGAGCGGTCTCGCGGTTCGCAGGTTCGAAGCGAGGAGGCGGGAGGGAGGTGTCCGCAGGAGCAGGTGCTCGGGCCCGCGCGGGGGTCGCCGGCAGTTCCGACCTCAGCCGGAAGATGGCGCGCACGGACCCGCCGCTGCGCCCGGGAGGAGTTGGGGAGCCCGGTGGGTCAGGCTGCAAAGGGGGCCCCTGGGACCTAGACTCTGTCCAGCCACTAGTAGCCACTCGGCCTTTCTCCATCCATTGAGAACGAGGCCAGAATGGGCCCCGAAAGAGTCCAAAGAGACCGCTGCCCTCCAGGGACCCACATGTGGGGAAGGACACAGGCATACAAACCTAGGTCACCTGGGGCAAGTGGGGAGGAACCCACTCAACATGGGGCCTTCGGGACTAAGACTATCTTTATACCCAGACGCTAAGGCCTGGAGAGGGCCAGGCTTGCCAGGCAGCTGGGGGCGGGAGGAAGCTGGTCCAGGTGAGGGCCTGGCTGGTGCAAAAGCCCTGTGGCCAGGCCTCATGCAGCCAGGCAGGAACAGCCAGGACAGCCTGGGTAGCCTGGGCACCTTCAGTTCTGCATGTGAGGTTGTTGCCTGGGGTTTGGCTCTGGGTGTGGAATGGCACTTGTGTTCTGAGGTTGCCTGAAGGGAGGCGGGTGTTAAACTGTGCAGGGAATCCTGGCAGAGCTCGTCTCCGGGTGAGGGAATTCGGGGTGATCTTCACTTTCTTCTGAGTACTTTTGCGTTTTCCAGATCTTCTGAAGTGACCTGCTTTTCAAACACAAACATGCTTTGAATAGGTAATATCATCCGTGGTTTTAAAAAGCATGAGATGGTGAACAGTGAACATGTTTCCTTACTTCTATTACTCTGTGTCCTTCCCCAGTCTACAGAGAATGCAAACGGTAGTGAAAACTGTCCTTTCCCAGTTCTGTGCTTTTCCTCCTGCTAGGCTCCCATTGCCAGTGGGCGGGCCCTGGGCAGACCCTTCCAATGCAGGCCTCTTCTCCTCCCTGCAGTTTTGGGTGGCCTCCTGGTCCCAGGGCACTGGTGCTGTTGGGGTATCATGGCCCACCTTGTGTCTTCTTCCCTCAGGGGTTGTCCCAGGGCTGTGTGCTTTGTGGGGGAAGGAGGCGAGAAGGGGAAGCCCCTCCTGGCTGGCACCAGTGCAGGGGAATTCTGGTGCAGAGCTGGCGGGCGCCTGCCTTTCTGAAAGCATGTCCCTCCAATGACAACAAAGTGAGAGTGAAACCAGCTTTCAGAAGCTGCTGCCTGGGGTTGACCTTAAAATGTCTGAAAAATAAAAAGACAAGGACAGCTTTTAGGTGAAGTGGGTTGTATTTGGTAAGGTAGCCCCACCCTGGGAGGTTCTGAGGACAGCCCAAGGAGCACATGTGGGATGTCCCATGTCCAGGTCCTGAGTGGGAGCCCGGGTCACACTTCCTGTCTCCCAGCCCCATGTGCAAACTGGTGTCTGTCTTCCCAAAGGCCTGAGTGAGGGAAGGAAGTGAGGTGAGAGCCTTATGAGGGGACAGGCCATGTCCTTCAGGGCACAGATGCCAAGGGGAGAAAGAAAAAGAAGGCAGGGTAGACTGTCAGAGGAGGGAGAGGGGGTGAGCTGCTTGCCTTCAGGCAAAGTAGGTGGCGGTGGTAGCCTCTGGGCCCATGGTTTGCTCACCTAGTAGGCAGCTGATGGGCCCTCTCCTGCCCCAGCTGAAACCATGGGTAGCAGACATCCACATAACCTTGACCCTGATCTGCAGCCAGGCCCATGCCTTTTGGGGGTGGGGGGATGGGGGGGGCGCTGAGGCCCAGGACAGCTGCTCCAGGCTGAACCCTTCGTGCCCTTTGCTAACCTGAGACCCCAGCCCTGGCCCCTTCTTGGGGCTGCATGGGGGTGTCCCAGGTGCCTCCTGGTTCCTCCCCACCATGCTTTGGGCTGAGTTTTGCTTTCTTTTTGGCTGGAAGGCAACTGACTGGGAATCCCCTGAGCTGCCCAGAGTGAGTCATCCCTTTCCAGCCTGCCAGATTGGGGGTGTTACCCCTTCCGAGTTGGCAGGTGGGGTTGGGTGGCCACTTCCTGGTCAGGGCCAAGTCACAGAGGCTCCCTCTTCCTCTGTTATCAGCTGTGCTCACCTTACAGGCCAGTCATTAGAGTCAAATTAAAAAAGAAAAAAGTGTGTGTGAAAATCCTGTAAAAGCAGCAACCTTTACGATAAGCAAAAGCATCTTCACGCTTGAAGTGCTGGCAGGTCCTTGGGGATTGGCTCAGTGACGTCCACAGGCGGCTGGCTGCCTTCCAGGGAGGCGAGGCCTTGCTCATGAGATCTGTGGACAAAGGGCAGGCTGAGTTGGCTCCCAGTCAGCGCTTTTGCAGGAGCCCTGATCTGGAGGAGGGACCCTCCCGGGAATCACTGCAGAAGGCAGGCAGGTGGATGATTTCCCGATTTTGCCCTGAAGGAAGCGGGGTGCGCTGCTGCAGCTGAACTTCTTTGCAACAAGAACCGTTTCCTGCAGGGTTGCTGGTGGGTTCACAGCGGCGGAGAGGAGAAATTTTCCTACACCTGAGAGCTCACAAAGCCATGGGGCTGTCCATGGGAGGTTTCCACCGCTGCTTGTGGCCAACTCAGCCTTGAGTTCATGGAACTTGCATCAGAGGCAGGGCGGCCTGGCTGCTGTCTCCCAGGCACGCAGTGTTTCGGGTCGGGAAATTCTGACTGCAGACCAAGTAATGACTTACACAGCGTGACACAAGCACTTCCAGCGCAACGTGGACTGTTCTTCAGTGCGTTCCACCTCTGGCAGCTGCCTCAGATGAACCTGGCAGTGGAGGTGCTGGATGTGCTGTGTGACCCAGGGTAAGGAACCTTACCTCTGAGCCACCGTGTTCTTTTCTGCAAAGTGAAGAGCTGAGAGCGCAGTGCCCCTCTTCCGGCACAGGTATGAGGCGAGATGCTGTTTGTCAGATATTTAGCAAAGCCCATGCACAGTGAGAGATTGTCTCTTTAGTCCTGACTCTCCCTTGGCACAAAAGAAACAGACTGGCCTCAGGGCAACACCGGGCCCTCCCAGCGCTGCTCCTTTTTTCTGGCCAGGACCACTGCTTCCTTTCCAGATGTTTCCATTGGCGTGTCCCACATTTCCGTGTGTCTGAAGGCCAGAGTTTGTGCACTTTTGGTTTTATTGGTGGTAAAATTCACATAACATAAAACTCGCCACTTAAACCATACAGTTCCGTGTCATTTGTCCATTCGTGATGCCAGGCAACCATCAGCGCGACCTGGCCGTAGAGCGCTAGGCTACCCGAGAGGAGACTCGCCGCCTTGTGCACCCTTTAAAGTGAGCGGGGACTTTTCTTGGTTTTTCTTAGAAACGTAGTTCACGCTGGGGCCCTGCTGAGCCGGGGCTGGGGAGGCGGAGGGACAGCGCCGCCGCGGTGTCCTCGGCGTGGGCCTGACCCTCCGTGGGCACCGGCAGGTTCCCGGGAGGTGAAGAGCGGCGAAGGCTTCGCTGCGGGGCCCCGTCCTCTCGCGGCGCGCGGAGCTCACGGACTCGGAGCTGCGAGGGCGCGGGGCAGCCGCCGCTCGCAAAGACCCAGGCGGGGAATGAATGAAGTGTTGCGTCACGGCAGCTCCGACCAATCAATACCCGCTGCGGCTCCCTGCGTGCTCCTGGTAGGCTCTTGTATCTGCCCGTCAGGGAGGCGCACACGCTGGGAGGCGGGGGAGAAAGCTGACCAATCAACACCCGCTGCGGCTCCTTGCGCGCTCCGGATAGGCTCTTGCATCAGTCCGTCAGGAGGGGTCGCGGGCGGATCGCCGCGGAGGCGGCGGCGGCTGGGCGGGAGCGCAGTTCCTGGCGCGCGGCAACCGTTGGTGAGT